ACTTGAAGCAGAAGGAATAATTGAAACGGTAACAGACGAAGCGACACCCTGGATAAGTCCAATGGTAATTGTGCCAAAAAATGACAGCAACCTAAGAATTTGCGCAGACATGCGAGCAGCTAACAAAGCTATTGAAAGAACTCGTTTTTCAACTCCAACCCTGGACGATGTTATTATAAAACTAAAAGACTCCGCCATTTTCTCGAAACTAGATTTAATGAAGGCATTTCACCAGCTCGAACTTGCACCGGAATCCAGATCAATAACTACTTTTCAATCCTCAAATTAAACGTTTTAAAAGACTTAATTTTGGAGTAAACTCCGCGCAGGAGGAACTACAAAACACTTTACGAGAAGTTTTAAAAGATATAGAAGGTACTTTGAACATTGCCGACGATGATCTAATTTTCGCTTCGAATACAAAAGAGAACGATATAATATTACATAAAGTATGAGAAAGATTTAAACAGAGAGGTTTAACTCTAAATTTTGAAAAATGCTCATTTAGAAGAGAAAAAGTCAAATTTTATGGATTTATATTTTCAAAAAAAGGAATGCAACCAGATCCGGAAAAACTTTATAATATCAAGAACATGCCAACACAAGAAAACACTAAAGCTCTTCAAAGTTTTCTCGGGCTTATGAACTATTTTAAACGTTTCATTCTACACTACAGTACAATTACTTATCCATTGAGAAATCTTTTGCATAAAGGTTCCTTATGGAACTGGAACCTTGAGCATGTGTCAGCATGCATTTGACAAACTAAAAAACGCAATGACATTGGACTCATGTGTAAGATACTTCGATCCCAACAAAGAGACTACTGTCTTCACCGATGCAAGTCTTGTAGACATATCGACAGTCATTGTTCAAAACACTCCAAATAAACAAGATTTTAAACTAATATCTTTTAATTCGAAAGCACTATCGCCTGTACAACAACGCTACTCTACGCTCGAAAGAGAATGTTTAGCTACAGTATACGCCTGCGAGCATAACAAAACATACCTATTTGGACACCCTTTTAAAATGTACAGCGACCATGAAGCTATTGTAAAGATTTTAAACAAACCAAACGCTACAGTACCACTTCGCATTGAGCGTATGACTTTACGATTACAGGGATACTCTTTTGATCTACACTACGTAAAAGGAAAAAATAATATATCTGATTATTCTAGTCGACACCCTGTAGACCCTCGTGAGGACAAAGGGCTAGAAAATTATGTCAATTTTACAGCTGAATTCGCATGTCATAAAGCCCTTTCACTACTGGATATTCAAAGAGAAACTAAAGCCGATCCTATTCTACAAATACTTTAAGAGTTAATTACTACTAATACCTGGCAAAAACTATTACATCCAAATTGTCTGCAAGAACTAAAAAAATTTCAAAAAGACTTACTTGCTTACCGTAACATACGCCAAGAACTTACAGTAAATCAGACTTCAGACCTATTCTAAAAGCAAATTGAATTGTACTTCCACATTCTCTGGAAATTACGCTTATACAGCTTGCTCATAATAGTCACATGAGACTTGAGAAAACCAAATCATTATTTAGAGAAAAAGTTTACTTTCTTGGTCTAGACACTAAAGTAGAAGAATATATAAAACGATGTGCAATTTGTCAAGCCCTTGGTAAACAAAATGCACCAGCCGAACTATTAATCACACCAACACCAGAGGAAGTTTGGGACACCGTTAATATAGATTACCTTGGTCCTTTATCTAATGGATTTTATTTGGAAGTCCTTATAGACCAAACATCAAAATTTCCGGTTGTCGATATTATACATAATACATCTGCTGACCTCCTTATTGATTTAATACAGAAAACGATTGCAGTATATGAAATCCTTTATGAAACCACTGATTAAAACAATACGAGCAGCACACATTGAACGGAAAGACTGGAAAAAGCAATTATACAACTTCCTGTTTTCCTACTGTACCACACCCCATTGCACAACCCGAATACCACCATCTACACTCATGTTTAATCGCGTTACAGGTTTTACAATACCTTCATTCCAAACAAAGTCGATACAAATATTAATGATCAAGCCAAAAAGAGACAAGAAAATGCTAAGTTATACAGAAAAAAATATCACGATTTAAAATACCACGCAAAAAATCCAAGTTTAAATATCGGGGATACAGTACTGATAAAACAAAAAAAATATAACAAAATTACGGCACCATTCGAGTTCAAACACTACACATTTACTGCAAAGAATGGTACAACGATCACTGCAAAATCTCCCGTCGACAATTCTCAAAAAACTCGAAATGCTTCATATATGAAGAAAGTACCAACGGATATACAATTTAATCCGATACCAATTAAAGAAGAGAAAGATGAAGAATACTTCCAGAACGAATCAATTTTGCCAGAAAAGGAAATAACAGCTACTATGCCGACACAACTAAGAAGCTATCATCAAGAACCGATTCTGAAGACATATCCTAACAGAGAAAGACGTCCTATAGAATTATGGAGGAAGTATTAAAACATTATAAAACACAAACAGTAAAACATTTCATTTACAGAAGAAGGGGAAAATGTAAAATGTATTCCGAGATGGAGATCTTAATTAAAACTATATTTACGTTATTGTAACTTTATGAAGGCATTATATAGAAAATAAGCGATAAGAAATGTTGTAGTTTATCAATAAAAATACTTTAAAATTTTTAATAAACTACCTTATGTAACTTTTTTCTCAATGTTTTATTCGTTTGTTGTCGAAATCTATTTGTTAATGAAAATCACGCTGAGTAGCAATATTTACTAATGTTTTAGTAATAGCTATTAAACAATTTGCATAAAGCATATATAAAGCTTATTTAGCATCAAAAATTATTTCTTCATGAAAAGAAATAACTAGCTGATAAAAAATTATTTACATGTTTCATTAAAGTTACTAGATTACTAGACATATACTGTTATTGTCATTTACTTATTGATTTTGTAACTTTTTATTTAAATAACAACTCTAGTAATCTGTCCTTATTTATATGGAAAAATTTTAATAAAATTTCTGATATCAGGAACTATTTTGTGATAAATAAACATTAAAGCAAGTTCATTTAGCTTATTTTTTAGTATAGTATTCCTCTAAAGTCTATGGAAAGCATCTTATATCCATGAACTTTAAATGCATCTGAAATATTAGATAGTAATCTTACCATAACTTTAATTTAGCATATACTGATGAAAAATGAAGAAGATCAGTTTATAAAAGTCCAAAAAAAAATTAGAAACCGTTTTACATTAACAAGACGATTCTTTACAAAAAATTCATAAATAGAACATAGTCCGCTTTCATAATTTTGTATTCATAATTTTGCATTCATAACTTTGTATTCATAATTTTGTATTCATAATTTAGTATTCATAATTTAGTATTCATAATTTTGTATTCATAACTTTGTATTCATAATTTTGATCTTTGAGACTAAACCACTGGTCTTCCTTCATACACTTTCCTTATACCTCATTCCTCATGCACTATGAAAAAGTTGTTATAGATATAATTAAATGACTTTAAAAAAAGAGTTTTTGCATATATATCAACAATTTGCTTTTTATAAGCTTCTAATTGTTCTAGTTTAGTAAGTTTATTTCATTTTAAAAATGCTTTTTTTAGCATAAAAAAGCAATAGTTAGATGAATGATAAATGTCGTTCCTTAAATCGCTTTTGCATTCATAAAAATGAATTTACTTCTTAAATCAAAGTTACTTATGAATGCATAAAATTTACTAAAATTGGGTGATTAAGTAAAGAAAAGAATAAAATAATTTATCTTTTAACAATTAAAAGTTAGAAAAAAAATGATACTAGTGACGTCCATGTAGTTTTACCTAAAAAGCTACACATGGCAGCATTCAAATTCCTAGAAAAACTAAAAATAAAGCAGTTTATTCTAATTTTGGCCGCACATTTATAAATTCCTAGATCCTTACCTGCATTTTGGCTTTAGAATCAATAACTGCATATACCCGGTGGGAAATCGGCTAGCAAATAGCTAGCTAAAATCGTTACGATAAAGACAGCGATTTGGCCACGAGGATCGCTAGCTTTTTTAAGATAGCGAAAAGCTATCGATATTTTTAAAGATAAAGACAGCGATTTGGCTACGAGGACAGCTAGCTTAATAAGCTGAAGATCCACTGACTATTGTACCTAATACAATAGTCAGTGGATCGTTAAAAAATTGTTGTCTAAAAAATTTTGATATGTAGCTATCAACCAGCTATAGATTTGTAGATATTTTGTAGCTAGCTACAAAGCTACAATATGTAGCTAGCGACACATTACTACAAAACTGCAATGTTTAAAGTTCAATTATTTTCATAATTATAATACACTCAACACTAAAAATCGAATTTTTAAAGATGTTAAAGACATTTGCAAAAAATAAAATAAGAAAAAAAAATCGCTTGAAAATCGCAATTTTTTTTTTAACTAACTAGTCGTTAGCTCATTTCCCACCGGGTAATAACTACAAAGTTAGAAATACTATAACGACATTGTATCCATATACTTGCAACCAGCTTTATTGCTACAACCTGTTATTAACTAGTCACTAGTCAAGTTAAGCTCTTGGCATTTCTATTGATCAACCCACGCGGCTAGTCGCTCTCTTTATTGTTACAATAGCCACTCCTGGCGCTGGCTGGTTTTCCATCAGGTGTTGGGTAAATGCCAAATGCTAAAAGGCATAAAATATAAAAAACATTTATAATGAAGCGTGTTAATAATTATATTAAATTTATAAAAATCTTAACACTTATAAAGAAAAAGATAATTAACGAGGCTATTAACGAGTAATAATTGGCTGCTAGTAATACAATAGCTTTAAAATAAACTGAAAGTTCATATATTTAATTAAAGTTTGTAAGATCCTATTTTATAAAATCACTTATTTAAACCCGCGTGACCCGCGAGTTTCTATTAAAACACAACAAATGAAAGTGTTATGTATAAACTTAAACGTAAAAACTTAATGTTTACGACTGTGAATAAGTTTATACATAACAGGAAGAATGGAAAACATGGCAAGAAACGTTCTGGCGTTCGTGTTTCCAGTTTTATATTTATAATAATGTGTTCCTGTTATCATTTAGTCTTTTTTTCTCTAATAGGTAAATACTATTTTAAGTAAAAATTGTTCAATATCAATAATATTTTTATTTTGCGGATTAACTGTTCATTGTTTTAGTTAATAATCAAAATATAGTAAATATTTTCAAAACAAAGATAAAATTTTTTGTGTTTGATTAACATTTAAATTTAGTAATTAACAAGTAATTTAATAGCAAAAAAGTTATACTTAATTTTGAAAAAATATATAGAATACTCTTATTATTTTACATCAAAAAAAAAAAAAAAAAAAAAAAATCTTTTTACTTACTTTTATAAAAAAAATTAAAAAAATTGTTATTTTTAAAGTTATATAATATTATATTTTTTCCAATAATAAATTTAGTATTTTGCAGTTTTACTTTTATATCAGTCTTACATTTTTGACATCATTTCAAACATTCTATTTGAATATTCAGTGATGGATGATAAAATATTTTGGATTTATAAGTATAGAATAGAATAGAAAAGATGCTGTACACACTTGAGGTGTGTTCAATCTTAATTACCTAGAATTTAGACTATGACTGCCAATTACAAAATATTTTGTTCAAAAACCAAAATATTTATCAATGCTGTTTTCAAAAACGATGTTCCATTAGTTTAAAATTTTTAAATATTGTATTTTAAATAAATGATTCAGAATTAATGTATGTATAATGTGAAAAAAAGTAATACTGTTATAGAAATAAAACTTTAAAATGCATAAATCTTTACGTTATTATTATAGAAACAATTTTTAATAAAATGACAAACAAGGCTGTTGCATGGAAAAACAAGTTGAACACATTAGTCCCAGAGACGTGGTGACAATTGAACTCAAAACCTCTTGCTTATGAGGAAAGCGCTCTATCACTATACTACTACCACATTAAATTAAGTCATTAAATATTAGTCAGAGTTCTCTATAATGATATACTACTATAATAACAGTTTTTCATTTTTTCTAATTTTCTTTCAACAGAAATAATTAACAAAGTCTTGTTAGTTTTTTCATTAAAAAATATTTTAAACACAACAGATAGTGTAATTTACATGCAATTTTATATGCTGTACTTATACTATGTTTTTCAATAAAAAAATTTAAAATCCTTTAAATGTTGAATTGAAAATATGTTCTAATATATTGTATATACTGCTTTATTTGTTGTTTTATTACTTAACAGTCAAAAATGTAGATGCTTATTTTAAAAACAACTAGGGTTTTTTATCTGACTCCAATCCCCTGCTGAATATAATAATAATAATAAAAAAAGTAGTATAAAAAGATAAAAAGATAAAAAGAAAAAAAATTAAAGTTGAAAATGTTGCATTTATTTTCAAAATTATAGAATTATAAATATTTGGTAAATTACTAAGAACAGCATCTATAATAAAATTAAAAACAGTCAAAATGTTTTATAAAAATAACTTAACCTTATTTTTATAAAAAAATAATTAAGTTTTTATATTATTATTTTTAAATATATCTAAGTTAAATATTTTAAAAAAAAATGATCAGAATCAAGTTTTATTTTTCTAATGAAAAGTCAAAAAAATATATTTAAAAAAAAACTAATATTTTTTCTACTTACTACTACTAACTACTTTCTCTACTACTACTAAAGTCGGACTTGAGAAAAATAAAACCAAATGAAAAGATGTTAAATTGTAAATATATACTTGTTTCTTTTTTTTTGACAAATTTTCAGTACAATCCTATAAGTTTGGACACCTTATAAAAGTCATTAGTTAGGCCATCTTTTATATGAACTTTTTAATATAAAAAAAAAATTACTTAAATACAATCTTTTTTAATTTGCTAACCATTTATTGCATAACAAATTTTTTAAATCAATTAATGTTCATATTATTTACGCTTCTTTGCTAAAAGGCAAGAAGTTCTATTATTTTGAAATTAAAATTAATCCTTAAAAAAAAAGGAAATTAAAATTGAAATTGTTAAATTTTGAGTAATCTGCTGATAAATTTTGTTAAATTTATTTTTTCATTAATTTTTCAAAATTGTCATTAAATTTGATTTGAGAATATCAAATCACATTTGAACAAGTTTTCTTAAAAATGTAATATCTTATGAGAATTTGTGTATATAAATCAAAATGTAATGACAGTTTACTCAAAAAATTTGTTTGCAAATTAAGGATTTTTAAATTGCACATAATATCAAAATTTAAAATAAGCTAAGTATTGAAATTATCAAATTTATTATGAGTTACATAAATAAATATATTTGAGAAAAATTGAAAAATTTTAATTTTTATATCATTTTTTTTAAAGGATTGATTTTAATTTTCATAATAATAGAACTTCTTGCATTTTAGCAAAGATGTGTAAATAATATGAACATTAATAATATGAACATTTTAGCAAAGATGTCTAAATGCCATGTACTTTAATAAATTATTAGCAAATTATTATATTTTATCAAAGATAATAAATTTATTTTCAAATCAAATTTAAAAAAAAAAACTTTTTTAAATTTGATTTGAAAATAAGGTGTGTTGATTATCCTTTTTTTTTTGAAATTTTAAAAAAAGTAGTTTTTATTTGTTGGAAACAGCATTTAAAACTTTTTAAAAAATATTAATTAAAAAAAAATTGATTTAGCCTACTAATTTTGTCTTCAAATAATTAATAGCCCTCTAATATTAGTAAAAAATGCTTTTTTAAGATTTTAATAATGATTTATGTATTTTTTGTTTTAAAATGAAGATTTTAGAAAACTAACAGGAGCAAACCCTTGGCAGCCATCACAACCGAGGTAGTGGCGAGAAAGAGTCGCAGCACTTTGTTATAAGAAAAATGAACGAAGTGTATGCAAATTTTAAACTTACGTAAACTTTGAATTAATTAATGTTAAAACATAATGAAACATTTATCAAGTTTTACAGTTTGATTTTCACTTGAAAATTACATTGAGTCAAGCTCTCCTTAATTTTGATCTACAGCATTTCTTTCTGTTGAAAAAATTATTATATAGTTTTGAAAATTTTTGTTTAACAACATGCCTGCGTGGCCAAGTTGATAGCGCGCTGAGTTTCTGAACAAGTAAGCCGTGTTTCGAGTCCTACCAATGGCAACTTTTTTTCTTTAATTATTTTTGATTATTTTAAAATACAAAATACTTTTGAAGTTTTATAGAGATTATATGCAAACATAAGTAATGATATTATATACTTTAACAAACAAAAAATTTTCAAAAAATTAACTAAAATTTCTAAAAACATCAAAATACCGGGAGAAAAAAGTTGTCTGAAACTTAATAAAGAAAAAACTTAATAAGACAGTCCTGCTACTCCAGAAGGTACTGCTGTGGAGGCAAAAAAAAAAAAAGCCTGTAGGTAGAAAAACTTTTAAACTTTTTTTTGACAAATAAAAATTTTTTTCTGGTACATTTATTTTTTTACTATAAATATATGATGCAGACGTTTTTCAAAATGCCTTAATATGCTTAATATGCATTTCGAGAAAAACGCAATTAAAAAAAATTAAAAATTAACTCTTTGTAAAACATTTTTTGAAACAAATAATTTTTATTAATTTTTTCATAACTCTTTGAAAATATGTTTTCAATAACGTTTGTAGACATAAACTAGCTTTTTTTGTAAGAAAGTCAAAATTGATATTTTTTACCTTAAGGCATTTTGAAAAGCGGCTGCAGTATTGATAATACAACGAATATGTTGAAATGAGATAATTTGATGCAAAATTTAAAAGCTCTTAACAAAAGCCACTAAACCTAAAAAAATTAAAGTAATTGCAGTTCAGTGCACTTTAAAATTTAAGTATAGTGTATTGGTGTTTGCAAAGAAACATTATATAAATCATTTTTTAATTTAAATGTAAACTAATTTTTTTTTTAATTTGTTGCACTTAACTATCCCTATATAAACAATGTTATATATAAACAAATGTTATTTGTTTATATATGTTTATAAAATGTAAAAAATTCACTTATATAACGTTTTATTCAGGATCATATGCAATATAAGTAAACTTTTCTAATAATTACAAGTCTTTTTCGCTTAAACTGTTTTGTTTTGATTTTTTGTAGTTATGTTATTATATTTTAAAAAATTGACAAGATTGAAAAAACACAAAATTTGAAACTTCAACTTTAGATTTGCCCCTCTCTCGATAATTTCTGATTGCTAAAATTACGTCATCTGCTTCTTAAACCTTTCAAAATAATAGTCAGTGAGATAAGATTTTATTTCCATTAAAAAAAAAAAAAACTCTTTCTATTAAAAATATTTGAAATATATTTTTATGGGATATATTCTAATAAAGACAAAACTATTTATTTATTACTATTGTAATAAATACAATCTCTTATCCATGAAAATGATATATCTGTACAAGTTTTATATTGTTATGCATTTGTATGCAACATAATTAAAATTAATTAAAAAAATGATTAATGCAAAAGGAAACTTGATGCATAAAGGTTTATTTTGCCACAAACTGATGTCAATGCACAAAATCTTTTTGGCTCAACTTTTGGAATAGTGTGTTTAATATTATTCTTTTAGTTCTTAATCATAATCATAGGAATGAATTTTTTAGTGCTCTAAGATCGTCTTAGTTCCATTTGTATAGCGTTATGTACAAATGTCTTTAAGTGTAAACGTATTTAGCATATGTTGAGTTTGCAGGCATTATCTATATATTATTGCTGAACTTAATCTTTTTAGTATTTTAGTGCTCATTCGAGCATATTTGACACGGAACCCTTGGCAGCCATTGCAATTGAGGTAGTGGCAAGTAAATGTTGCAGCACTTTGTTTTATAAGAAAACGTGAACGAACGTGTATGCAATTGTCTAACGTACGTAAACTTTGATTGTAATGTTAAAACATAGTAAAATATTTATCAAGCTTTATAGTTTGATTTCACTTGAAAATTGCATTGAGTCAAGCTCTCCTTAACTTGATGTACAGCATATCTTTCCGTGAAAAACGTCATTACATAGTTTTAGAAATTTTCGTTTAACAATGTGTCAGCGTAGCCAAGTGGATAGCGCGCTTAGCTTCTGAACAAGTAAACCCTGGTTCAAGTCCTACCATTGAAAACTTTTTTTTTAATTTTTTTCGACTATTTTAAAATAGAAAATACTTTTGAAGTTTTATAGAGTGTTTATAAAAACGATTTTAAAAAAGATAATATTTTTAAAAACATCAAAACACCAGGAGAAAAAAATTGTTGTGTATGTGTCATGATTGAGATCATGCTAATAACGTGCTCAGGTAATTAGTCCTAATAAGCTGTGGATGGTCTGAAAAAAAAGTTTTCTAAAACTTAATAAAAAAAAACTTTTTAAAACAATTCTGCTACTCCAGAAAGCTGCAAAAAAAAAAAAAAAAAAAAGCCCGTAGTTAGAAAAAAATTAAAAAATTTTTTTTGATAATAAATATATATTTTTTTTGCTTCATTTATTTTTTTACAATAAATATGTGCTGCAGCTGTTTTTTCAAAACGCCTAAATATGCTTATTACGTATTTCGAGAAAAATGCAATTAAAAAAAAAATTATTAAATAGAGATGGTTAAGCACAAACAATGTATGTATAAACTCTTTGTAAAACCTTTTTTAAAACAAATAATTTTTATGATTTTTTTTAGAACTCTTTGAAAATATGTATTCAATAACGTTTGTAGACATATAAAGTAGCTTATTTTGTCACTTCCGAGTGGAAAATTTGAAACTTCAACTTTAGATTTGCTCCTCTCTTAATCACTTCTGATTGCTAAAATAATGTAATCTCCTTCTTAGACCTTTTAAAAATGATAGTCATAGAAATAAGATTTTGTTGAATTTTTTTAAAAAACTCTGTTAAAGTCATATGGAATATATTTTTGTGGGATATATTCTAATAAAGTCACAAATTATTTATTTATTTCTATTGTAATAAATACAATCTTTTATCCGTGAAAATAACATATCTGCACCAGTTTTATATATTTTTATGCATTTGTATGCAACATAATGAAAATTAATTTTAAAAGGTTTATTTTGCCACTAACTGACATCAATGCCCAAAATATTTTTGGCTTAACTTTTAGATAAGCGTTTAATATTATTTTGGTTTAGTGCTTCGATCTGCTTAGATCTTCTTAATTCCATTTGTATAGCATTACGTACAAACGTATGCAAGTGTAAATGTCTTTATCATATGTTGAGTTTGCAGGCATTATATGGAATAATCACGAATATCTATATACCTATAAAATAAGAAAACTTGAAAATTTTATTTTAAATTTTAGAAATCTTTGTTTCTATATTATTATTTTTGCTATGAATATATAAGTGAATATATAAGCAAGATTGAAAATATTTCAAAATTCATTACGCTAATAGAAGGTCTTAAACCCTCCAAAATAACACTGATGACAGCGCATTTAACCACTGAGCTATTAATAAAATGCATTTAGCAGAAAAAAAACCTTAATTATAAGTCTCTTATAAGTTCTACTTATGCGGAAAAGGTGCGCATGTTAAGCTTTTTGCTCTTAATTTTTTTTCAAAATAAATTGTTTTACTGAAAAACATTGAAGTAAATAAGGAATAGGTATAGATATAATTGTCGAGAAATAGATATGTAAATTGGTAAAGATCTGTATTTTACAGATCCGGAAAGCTAGGATATATAAGGAAAAAGTATAAAAAAGTGCGGTTTGGAATAGATATAAAAAGACTCATATTTTTTTGGGTCCAATCTCAGCTAGTATGGAATTATCGTGTATATATATCTATAAAATGAAAAAACTTTAAAATTTTATTTTAAATTTTAGAAATCTTTTTTGCTATATTATTATTTTTTTTCTATAAATATATAAGCAAGATTGAAAAAATTTCACAATTTATTACATTAAGAGGAGGTCTTTAACCATCCAAAACAACACTGATGACAGCGCACTTAATCACTGAGCTATCAATGAAATGCATTAAGTGAAAAAACAAATCTGATTATATTAGTCTCTTAAAAGTTCTATATATGCGGAAAAGGTGCGCATGTTAAGTTTTTTGCTCTAACAGTTATTTTTCGGAATAAATTATTTTACTAAAAAATATTGAAATAAATGAGGAATAGTTATAGAAATAATCGGTGAGGAATAGAAATTGGTACCTGTATTTTATGACCTGTATTTTATGGATCTGGAAAACTAGGATATATAAGGAAAAAGTATAGAAAAGTTTGGTTTGGAATAGACTTACAAAGACCCGTATTTTTACGGGTCCGATCTCAGCTAGAATTTGTTTAATTTGACTTCTTTTGATACCCAGATTGACCTAATTAGAAAAAAGAAATTTGTGATAATATTAGTGAGCAATTAACTTTTTTTTTTCCAGTTTTAAATTTTATTTCCAAGTTATCCTAGAAATAAAAAAAAAAAACTTTTTTTACAATATCAAAAATAATAATAATAATAATAATTAATAATGCAAAATCAACACACCATATTTGAGAATGCTTTTTTACAATTTTTATTTAAATTACCAAAATAATCTAAGAATAAATTGCGAAAAGAAACAAGTTTTTCTTAAATAACATAAAGTGCAAAACATCATAAATTCACATGTTTAGCAAAAATGATAATTTATTGTTTTTCTAGTTAATTAATATATGGTTGTTTTGGATATGTTGGTAAAAAAAAATTTTTTCTGACGCATGGTTTGATTACTAAAGGACCCAAAATTGAGCCTATAAAACTTAGGTTTTTGGGTCCTCTAGGAATCAAACCACAAAGGAAAATGTTTTGGGTCCTTTAGGAATCATATTGCATGTCAGAAAAGTTTTTTTTACCAACATCCAAAACAACCACATTTAAGTTAACTAGGAAAACAAAAAATTATAAATTTTGCTAAACATGTGAATTTATGGTATTGTGCACAGTGCGATTTACAAATTGTATGTCATTTCTTATGATGATGATGACAATGATGATGATGATGATGATGATGATGATGATGATGATGATGATGTTGATGATGACAATGATGAGGATGATGATAATGATGATGATGATGATGATGATGTTGATGACGACAATGATGAGGATGATGATAATGATGATGATGATGATGATGATGATGATGATGATGATGATGATGATGATGATGATGATGATGATGATGACAATGATGATGACAATGATGATGATGATATAGATTAAACCTATCCTAATATATATTGTGTAAAGTAAATTAAATTATTTTTCTATGCAGGTTTTTTTTTAATATTTGCTGAAAGTAAGCAAAAACCAGAGCAGTTCACCACTCTTCTTAAAAATGTTTTACTTAAGAAGTTTGGCCATTCTATTCGAAAAAGATCAAATGAAAAAAATGGTTACATTAATAATATGGATAACAAAATAGATGCAGTCAATGCCAGAATTTTAAATGGAGTGAATCATAAAAATATCAATCATATTTTAGTAACGGTAATTAATTTTATATTTTATATATATATATATATATATATATATATATATATATATATATATATATATATATATATATATATATATATATATATATATATATTAAACAAGCATATTTTATTTAGGGTCGTATTGAAATTCCATTGCAGCCGGAATTTGTGACTTTTAGTTCATTCCGAAAATTAATATTATATATATATATATATATATATATATATATATATATATATGTAAATATTTTTTTATATATAGAAATTAACAAAACAAAAACAGTACAATTCTAAAGAAAGATGGTAAAATGAAACATAACCCATTGGAATAATCAGTAATGTCCAAGGTTACATTTAGAACTTTGAAGCTCTCCGTAGTTTTGATTATTTGCAAAACAATCAAAGCTATTTCTAGATGCAGTAGAATATTCCATATGAAAAATATAACTATCATTGTCATTGACCTAATGGTTGAATTAAAAATAAAAAAAATAAAACTTTTAATTATTGGCACTTCCTTAATATTTCTTACATTTAAATAAACTTGTTAATAAATTAATAATTATATATCTAAATAAAATAAATCTAATATTTAAAAATAAAATATTATAGTGTTACCAATGTCTTACATATTATATTATTGCTGGATATCATCCGATATTGTGTGCAATAACAATCCAATCACCAAATTGAAAATCAGCTGCTAATTTTTTGGCTATTAGCTGAATATGATTGTTTAAATCATCATCTTTGATATGAATTGCATGTCTTGCATCATCAATTGCACTAATCTTGTCATCAGATAAATTAACCTCTTTTTAGAAAATAGTTTCCAGCATTCTTGCTCTTTTTTGTTTACTCCACTTAAAAAAATATCCTTAAAGCATGAAGGGAATTGCAAAATATTAATTGTAAGTCACAAGAAAAGATAAAAGTCACATTTTAAATCATACATACTTAAGATATTAGTAAATATACAAGTTAATTTACTTGCCTAGACAACAAAGAATGAGTTAGTTTAGCTTTAATGGTAATGCTTATCTAGTGATGTTTGTGAAGTTTTCAATCTCTTCTTTAATGACATAATGATTAATCAGCAAAATTTAGGTTCAAAATTTTTTATTTTGTTGATATAAGATAGCTCTAAAATTATTTTTTCTTTGCAAACTTTGTAAACTTTGTAAAGAGCTTCTAAGAAGAAGTTTTCATGATAAGATGATGCATTATCTAACTTAGGATAAAGATTTTTTAATTAAGGAAAAATATATTTAACTTTGACCAACACAACATCAGCGAAATAGAGTACAGTAACAAGGGTTTACTCATATCTATATACAACAGCATATTGCATTGATTGAACTTATTAAGTATTTTGTTAAATTAAAAAAGCTTACAAAATAATTTTTATCAAAGTCTCTTGCATAATTCCGTTATAAAAATGTCTTTTATTTTTAATTTTTATTAGAATTATTATAATTATGTATTATAATTATTATCATTATTATTGTAATTAAAGTTAAAAATTTTTTATTTTAATAAAATACTTCAAAAGTTCAAGTAATGCAATATAACAAATACCCTAGCAGCGATATAGATATGCTTAGGAATGGCTAATTTACATCTACAATAATATTGTAGATGTAAAGTAACAATTGCTAAGCATATCTATATCGCTGCTAGGGTATTTGTTAGTTAAGAATGTGGCAAAATAAGACTACTTCTAGGCTTTTTATAAGCTTTTTATTGCTTGAGCACATGGATTTTTTTTCCGATATTTGAAGATACATGTATAAGAAAGCCAAATAGTTTTTACATTCATGGCAACAATCAATGTATGCCTTAATGGCTTTCAAAAACAATTAAGAAATTTATGTGCATGTAATTGCCTTAAGAGATAATAGTGCCTAAAGTACAGGTAAAATTTCAAATTTAGTGGTTTTGAACCATGATTTCCAGACAGCAAAAATTGTAAATGTATTGAATTTTTACTTTTACTGTACAAATCTACATGGGGTACCAGGAAAAAAAAAAGAAATGTCTCTCAAATTCATGTTGTTAAAATAGCACCTCAAAGTAGCAATTGCACTTCACGCACAAATATTTTGACAAAATAGGCTAACCTTCAGGACCCAATATCTCCACAATTAGTTGGAATTAGTTGGAATTTACAAAAAAAAAAAAAAAAAAAAAATTGCCAGTGCCAAATTTCTTTATTTTCTACAAAACATCTAAAAAAATTGTAACGGAATTATGCAAGAGTGCTCGATAAAAATTATTTTCTAAGCTTTTTTAATATGCCTATATTACTAAATTTGCTTATAGATAATGGCTCTTAATAATAATAAATATAACACAAAACTAATTTATACCAATTAACAAGCTTAAAATGAATAAAAAAATTTTATTCATAGTTTTGTAAATTTTGCAAAAATTAAAAAATAAAATAATCAAACAAATTTTTTAGTAATTTATAAAAAATAATGAAATTGACACATTTGCATTTGCTTTTATGTTGTGTTAAAAAAAATAAAACCACAGCACAAATACTACAGATATTGTTTAATTCTAACAATTAAAAAACTTCTAATAATTGTTAATAAACACTTTTTTAATGTAAAAATAAATTTTTATTCATCCAAATAATATGCTCTTGATCTGCCCTTGAAAATTGACAAAAAATATCATGTATGCCTACAATAGCAGAAACACGTCTTTACGTCTGTAAAGTCGTGTTGTCGTTTGTTTACGTCTTTAAATCTAAAGACGTAAACAATTTTGCATATCTTTAGCCAAAGTCTGCTATAGTCATACATATTTAACAAGTGAACTATTATGAGTTTAACTGTTTTTTCTTCTGGTACTGATTTTCTATAAATTATTAGCTTGCTGTTTGTTTTTTTATAAAAAATTTTTTTTTGTAAAAAGTATATATATATATATATACAACCCTAGGAATTAGGAAAAATGAGGTCGGCAATTTTTGCCGACCTCAATGTTTTTGAGGTTGGCATCAGGTCGGCGAAAATTATTTGATACAAAGGTCTGACCATAAAACGTAGAAACGAGGTCGGCAATTTTTTGCCCACCTCAATTACTTTCAGGTCAGCAGTTAGGTCAGCTGAATGCTGATCCTAATTCCGAGGTTATATATATATATATATATATATATATATATATATATATATATATATATATATATCAAGCCTTCCCAGGAAAGGCGTGCGGTTTTCTTTCTCGTATGACCACACGTGATTACACTATTTTAGAAAACGTGAACACGGCCGTTTGCAAGTTTTATAATAATGCTGAAAAAGTTTCAAAAACAAAAAAACGTAACTAACAAAATAAAAAGAGATTAAAATAGAAATAAATAAAAACAAATTAACAACTTAAATAATTAGTGTACTGTTTTTACTTTTGTTTCTTTAGAGTTACATTCAGCAACAAAAATTAGATAAAGCGAAGCAAAAAAAAAACAGTTTGAAGTCTACAATAAAAAGAATGATTTCCTTTTCTTAATATTTTTTAAGAGGATAGCAAAAATACAAGTTGCAATGTGTTAGTAAAATTTATTTATATAATTTTAATGTAAAAACAAGGTTTGAAATTAAGCGAATACGAAATGCCAAATCTGGAAAAATATCTAGTTTCAAAATTTTAGTTTATACAAAACCATGTTCCTTGTTTTTATGTTTACTTAAATTTGTAAGCAAAAAAATAAAAAATAAAACAATAAACTTACGATTACAAAAGTAATAACACTCTAGTCACTAACTGCATTACAAAAATAATAAAAATAATAACACTATAATAGTGTTATTATTTTTATAAAAATAATAACACTATTATATTATATAACTTTTAAAATTCATTCTTTGTTCAAGCAACATTAGTATTCCCAAATTTTAATTGAAGTAGAAAAATATTTAAAAGAATAAAGTAGATTTTCAAATAATATTAAAACTAAAGTAACTTATAAAAACATGACAAACAACTTTATGAAAACGTATCGTATTAAAAGTTTAGCATTATGAAAAATGTTACTAATGGACCGTAAAAACGTGCATTAGTTTTAAAATTAACCAATAAAATTTTTTTATTGGTTGATTTTAAAATTAACGCGCATTTTTACGTAACGTTTTTCATAATGCTATACTTTTTATAAAGTACTTTTTTATAAGGTTGTTTAAGTGATATGTGAAAGTTCCTGAAATTTTTAATAATATTTGAATATCCGCTTTATTTTTTCTAGACACTTTTCTACTTTAATAAATGTTTGTAATTAATGTTGTTTGAACAAAGAATGAACTTTAAAAGTAATATGTGCTTTATAAGTGTAATAACACTATTATAGTTTTATTACTTTTATAATGCAGTTAGTGACAAAAGTTTTATTACTTTTGTAGTCGTAACTTTATTGTTTTTGTTTTGTTTTTTGTAACTTTCTCGCTAGCAAACTTTTAATAATTTGCTCCTTATAAACAAAGTACACAGCTTTGCATGAACTAAAATTTTAAAGACCTAATATTTTACCAGAGATTGCAAATCGTGATCGTATAATTTAACTCTTGATATAAACTTGTTACATTATAATTATACAAATATATTTTACAAACAGATGACGATACATATTTTCTCTTTCCTCTTTAAAAGGAAAAACACATGAAATATGGGAAAGTCATCCTTTTTAATGCTTAAAACAGTTTTTTTTTTTTTTTTTTTTTGCTTTGACTTAATGAATTTTATTGCCGATAATAATAACGACTAAAAAAAAACAAAAATAAAAACAACACAAATTATTTAAACTATTATTATTGTTTTCTATTTAAGTTCACTTTAATTTCTTAAGTAGTTATTAAATTTAAAACAATTTTTCCGCATATGATAAAACTTGCACAAACGGCCGTGATCACGTTTTCTAACTTGAAAAACGTTTTCACCGTCGTACGAGATGAAATATATATATATATATATATATATATATATATATATATATATATATATATATATATATATATATATATATATATATATAGGCTTTTACTGGAAGACGTGTGATTTCATGTCTTTATATGACCGCGCAAAAAAAAAAATGTTTTAACAATTTGACCACGGCATATTTTTAAAATTTAAAAACGCGCTACAAAAACTTACCTAAACTTATCTGAAAAAAAAATTTAAAAAAATAATAAATATTAACGAATGAGAAAATAAAAAAAAATACTTAGTTAAAGCAAAAACACAAAAAAATAAATATATATATAATGCAACTAAAACAAAACTCATCGAACTAAAATGTTTAGTCTATTTAATTTACGCATTAAAAAACCTTTTCAATCTTTGTTTCAACATTTTAATATATTTTTTATTTGTTTAATATGTTCAAAAGTTAAATATTTCTCATAAAAAATACATAGTTAGTATATAAATAAAATAAAAAAACATTTTATAAATCCTTTTTTTTAAAATTAATTAGAAGTGTTTTTTTTTTTACTTCATTAAAAGCGTTTCGATCATATAAAAGCATTTAAGATCAGACTTATTAAATTGTAACGGTTTTCTAAAACTTTTTTTTTTAACGAAATTTTGTTTATCTTTTTAAATGCATTAATTTTAATCATTCTTATATTTAAGTTCGTCAAAGAGACTTTCGTAGTCGTAGAATGTCATCGTTTATATAAACAAAACAATTTTTTACTTTTTAATAAGATTTATTTTAGAAATGAACACTTGAATAATTTATAGGTTTTAAATTAAAAAAATATATACAACTGTCAATTATATTTAAAAAACAAAACTTTTTTTCAGTAAATTGTTACTTTATTTAAAATCGTTTCGCTAATATAAAAACATTTGTTAAGAAGTTTTGATGTAATTATTTTCACTTTTTTAGAATATTTTTTATTTAGCGCGTTTCAAAAATGTTTTTTGAATTAGCCGCGGTCAAACCGTCATAGCAAAATGTAATTTGCATGGTCATATAAAGACGTGAAATCGCATGTCTTCCTGTGAAAGCCTGATATATATATATACATACATATATATATACATATATATATACATATATATATACATATATATATACATATATATATACATATATATATACATATATATATATATATATATATATATATATATATATATATATATATATATATATATATATATATATATATATACACATATATACATCTCTTTTATTTAGATTTTATCCTTATCACTTGACAACTTTTTATCAATTGAGTCTGAGTTCTTTAGAGATATTGAACAACATGTTGCTAATGTTAAGTGTGAAGTTTCAGAAGTCAGTGCAGTAAGTTTTTAAATGGTTTTATGTTCCAGTGTTTTAAATGCTTGTAATAATTACAATGTTAATGGTCATGCTATAAAAGATTTTCTAATAATTAGTTCAAAAAAATCTAAGTTTTAAAAAACTTTATTAATAAAATGATAAAGTGCTTAATAATTTTGCATAATTAAACTACTGACAAAACATTTTTAAAGAAACTTATTTGTTTTGATTCATTTACAGTGATGTTATCTCAAAACTGTTTTTATATATAAAATTATAATAAAGAACAATTGTTTTCTTATATAATTAATTAATAAAATAATCTTTTTTATTTTTCAGTTAAATCCAACCAGTGTTTTGATCTATTGGTTTTGCTATTATCAAAATAGTGAAATTGCAAATCCAAAATGGAATCATATGTTTGTACCATCACACAAACTAGAAAGGTTGTTAACAAGTGGAGAGATGAGGGGATTCCTCCAAAAATATAATGTTACAAAATTTTATCAAAAGGTTTATTATAGTTAATTTCTAAAATTTTATTCATTAATTTTTTAATTTTTTTTTAAATAATAATTTTTATTTATAGAATTATTACATTTCTTGCATTTCTTTTAAATGCATCATTTATTATCTTTATCTATTATGTGTTAATATTATTTCCAATCTTCAAAACTTATTTAAGAATATTTTCACAGATATGATGTTGAGTGGTATGATTGGCCTATCTAGCAAATTTTTATTTCAGTTTTTTATTAAAAAAAATTAGTCATGCAATATATATGTAAACTAATGAAAATTAATTAGTAACTAATCCAAATATAGATTAAATTATGTCATCAACAATATTTTAATGGTTTATGGTATAAATATTAACATAAATATATTTCTCCTAAAATTTATATAGTTTTCAGAAAATGTTTTTTATATAAAAAAAAAAAACAATATTGAAGCTTTAATCTTTTCCCTTTTTAACAATAACTTTTTATGTTGTTTTTTAACAATAACTTTTTATGTTGTTGCTTCAATAAGTTCTACCAGCCTTTATTTTTTGTGGTTTTGTTCATCTCTTATATTTCATTTTTTACCAAAAGGTTTGTTTAATTAGTTTTTTATTGTTAAAAAATTAAATAAAAAACATTTTATATTGTTACAAGTCAGTGAATTTCTCAAGAACTTAAAACTGCAGTCTTGTTGTAAAGTTTGTATAGCCTTTCTCTTCTTTTTAAGTTAAACTAAGCTTGATTTTTCAGTTAAAGTTTATATACTTTCTGTTTAAATCAAGTCTGTTGTAAAAAATTTTAAAACACAAACAAAATTCCTTGAAAGTTTTTTAAAGGACTTTAAATGCTAGGATCTCAAAAGTTTCTTCTAGGACATCAAAAATTTTTCAAATTTTTTTAATGATTTTTCAAATTTTTATATAATATTATGATTAAGTTTTAATTTTAATTAATTCTAATAATTCTAAGTACACAATTCTAGGTACATTTTCTTTAAGTTTAAGAACTTAGAAAAAGCTATAAAAACACTACAAAAATATAATTTTAGAAGCTTGGAGTTTTGAATTCCCAATTACCAGATTCCAAATTGGCTCTTAAAATCTTATCCCATATTCGTTTCAGAGGTTTCTAAAATGTCTTTAAGCATAAAACTACATAAGCCATATCAAAGTAATGGAGTGCCAAAACTACATAATCCATATCAAAATGTTTAACTTCTGGAAACTCTGTAAATCTTTTTGTGACTTTCCATTATTGATTTTACATGTTAAAAAAATGTTAAGCATAAAATTATATATTAAAAAAAAAACTTTTTTTATTTATAATACTTTAATTTTATTTTATTAGGAAGAAAAATTAAGATATAACCCTACTACCTCCACTTCTAAAGAACATTGGTATCTTATGACTGTAGTTGCTTTAACTTCAACAATAGTTATTATATTGGCTTCTCTTCTTGTAGTAAGTAATTTATAAAAATTATGATGCTATTATATTAAAATTATCAGTCTCTGTTTAGCCAATGCTTTCGGATTTGCCCACACTCCCTCAAACACTTTGGCCAGTGCTTAAAAAAAATACAAGTGTTTTTAAAGTGCACCATTTCTTTTTTGTTCATCAAATATATTGATGAAAAAAATTGTTATAACATTTATATATGAATTATTTTATTCAGAATTTAAATAAAATGGTTTTTTTTACCATATTTTATACCCTAATTATGATATTTAGAATTTAAATGAAGCTTTCCTTTTTGCAGTTTTTTTTTTAATTATTTTTTTTTAAGAATTTAAATAAAGGATTTATTTTGTGCCCTTTTTATTTTAATTATTCAATTTAGAATTTGTCTGAAGCATTTTTTTCTATTTTTATTTTAATTTAAATTGCAACTAAAAATAAATTTTAATATAAAATAAATCAGGCATGCTAGCCTAATAATGACTGTCTGGTCATACAGTCATTATTAGGTTAGCGTATATATATATATATATATATATATATATATATATATATATATATATATATATATATATATATATATATATATATATATATATATATATATATATATATATATATATATATATATATATATATATATATAATTATATATATATATATATATATATATATATATATATATATTTATATATATATATATTTATATAATTATATATATATATATATATGTATATATATATATATATTTATATAATTATATATATATATATATATATATATATATATATATATATATATATATATATATATATATATATAATTATATATATAATTTTATATATATATATATATTTTTATATATATATATATATATATATATATATATATATATATATATATATAATTATATATATATATATATATATAATATAAATTGGTAAAGTTTTTTTAAATTTAGATTTGTTGTAAACGAGAAAAAAAAAACCACGTTGTGTTAAAAGAATCATTTAATGAAAATGATACTGTTTTAAAAAAAGAAAGGAACAATTCATTTGCAACTTCTCCTAGGAAAGTGGCATTCTCATATTCTCCTAAAAAAACCTCCACACCCGTATTTTCTTTTTCATCTCCACTTAAAACAGTAGATAAAGTAATTCTTCCTGTTCAAAGTCCTATAGAAATGGCTGGTCCATTCACTGTCCAACCACAGTTAGACTTATTATACCCTGCAAAACCAGGATTTTCTATGAAATGGTCAGAAAATAGCTCACTTGGTGGAAATGGAAGCAAAAATAAAAGTTTGTTTCAATCCAGGTATAGAAGTTAGTGTATGAAACTTATTATAAATGTCTTTATATTACCAAAAGATATTTGCTTTAATAAGATAATGGTCTCATTTTTGTATAGTCTTAGTAATACAATGTTTTAATCATATTTTTTGCATTCTTTGTCTAGTTTTTCAGAAGATTTAGGATTTTTTTTATACATTTTAATATTCTTCATTAAACATTTTTTTAATTTTAGGAGAGGTTCTTCAGCATCTTTAGTTATTACACTTTCTCCTCGAACACCTGATGCAGAGGAGTCTTTTATAATGCATGAAAGGTAAGTTGACTTAATTTATATGGTAGTTTATTTAAGTAGACATGTTTGAGATTTTTGTTAAGCATAAGTCAATAGTTTGTAATTTTTGTTTTCGTCATCTACAACCACAGTTAATTATTATTATTGTTGCCTATGGGCACATATTTATTGTTGCCTACAGGCAAATGTTTATGCAGATATATATTTTTTTCCTGCGCACTTTGAGGCTTTGTTATGAACTATTGCATTGTGTGCCATTTACCTGAGAAGTATTATATACTAAGAGTAGTTAAAGATATTTTGTAAAAAAATCATTATTTGATCTTTATGTTGTAAACATTGTTATTGCTAAGTTTCAATTTTTAACCATGGTTGTTAATTGAAATATTAATATTTCATTAATTTTATGCCCTATTGTTAAATCATTATATTTACAGTTACTAATTCAATTTGAACAATTTTGTTATTAATTAACAAATGACAATACAAATATGTTATTTTCTTTTGAGATTTTTTAAACAAATGTTTGTATTTCACAAGATAGTTTTTTAAGCTACACTAACATTATCAACCAAAAATAAAAATAAAATTTTAAAAGTTTAATTTTGAGAACATAGAAATATGAAATATTGTAGAAGCTGTCTTTTTAGTATTTATTTAAACATGGACAGAACTTCAAGTTGTTGTGCTTTTTATATTTAGTAGGACATAATTATTTCCTTTTCCCTTTGTCTATTTGTAAGTCTGTCTGTTTTTTGTGTGCGTGTATGTGTATTTGAGAAAGATTTTTTTTTTTTTGCATATGGTGCATCTGGGAAAGATGCCTCAGTTATATATCTAAACCATTGCAGAATTAACATTTATTAAGGTTGATTCTTTTTATCAAGTTCACTATTTTTATATTCCTATTTCCATTTTCTGCCTCTATAAATCTCTTTTTGTTTTTATATGGAATACTTTTGTTTTATTTTGGCTGGTTCTTCTAATAATATAATATCCTTACTCTTATAGACAAGGTTAAAAAAATACATTGTAAATGTAGTTGACCTTGCTTTAACTGCAAGGTTGAGCCCTGCTTTAGCTGCAAGATTGAGCCTCTATTACATTGTTGTTAAGTTGCATCTCTTTTCTACATTTACTATCAAATGATCTTTTGTTCCGTCTATTAAAACAATCTTATGTGAATAGTTATTCAGCAAAGTTGCATTGCAGCCTGCAGCTTTGTATTTTGTTATAAAAAAGAGCAATTTTAATAACTTTATAATCTATTGTATTTTGTCTCTAAATATTTTTTTAGTCCTACAGAAGAAATATTATTGCGTAAAAGTCGTTGTATAAAGTATAGAGAACTCTGCAAATTAAAAGACAATGATAAAGAACTTACTGAAGAATTTTGGGTAAATTTTTTAAAGTCTTGTTTTTAATATAAACTTTAAAAATCAGCTGCTGCGTATAAATACAAAATCAAATTCTTTATAAAAAATCATGTAAATGAAAAATAAAATTTCTAGCAAAGTTTATGTTTTCATGCAAATAAACAAAATTTTACATAGCTAAAGAAAGTCATAGTTCAACTGGTTGATTATTTGATTTCTATAGTAGTTTTGTGCCATTACTCATGTAAAATGTCACAAATAATATTGAGTTGGCTAAATATTAATGACTGTTTTTCTAAAAATTCTTATAAAGTTCTTTAAGCTTTAAGAAATTTAAATATATATAGAGCGTGAAATGGATGAGATATGATGACATAAATTTATTTTATGTGCTTAAAAATGCACTGAATTTGTTTAAAATTTACATAATAAATTTATAACAGAATTTATTAGATTATAAAAATTATATTATTAAAATATATAAATGAAAACCTGAATATATATGTAAAAATAAAAAAGTATATATAAATAAAGATATGTATATAAATATATATATATATATATATATATATTATATATATATATATATATATATATATATATATATATATATATATATATATATATATATATATATATATATATATATATATATATATATATATATATATATATATATATATATATATATATATATATATATATATATATATATGTATATATATATACATATATATATATATATATTTATATTTATATTAAATAAAAACTTTTTCTAAAAAAAATCTATTTCAAAGACTGTTGTTGTTTAGTGTTTCTGTTATTTGAAACCTCTTATATTTAAGATATTTAAAATATTGACTTATTTAAAATTTAGAGTATTTAAAAGTTACTAGAGTATTGAGGTGTTTAAAGTTATTCTAGATATAAACTATAGAAGGCCTTTCTATGTAAACCCTTTTGTGTCAACTCTTCTATGTCTATCATTTCTATGATAGATGGCAAAAGACTCTCATTCATATATGCTCTTGCACCAGCACAGCCATGTATCTATATATCACATACCTTTATACTCCATTCTCAGTAAATGTTGTTACCTTTGAATTACAATAAATCTTATTTAAAAATTTTATGATATTTTATTTAACTTTAGTTTAGGCGTATTATTTTGGTTCTATTTTATTTTAATATATTTTAATTTTGGTAAAATGAAAATAACCTCTAAATTTTCAAAAAAACTTTTGCTTCATTAGAGCATACCTCCGAATACTATATGTCGAAGAGAAATGCAATTAAAAAACAGTTTAAAGAATAGATATCCAGAGATCTTACCAAGTATGTTTTTTATTGTTTTTTATTTTTATAATTAATATATAAAATAGTATAATTATTTATTTTTATTGATTTATTTTTAATTATCGATTTATTTCAATATTTTAATATTATTACTACTATCATATTATTGTATTATTTAATATTATTACTACTATCATATTATTGTATTATTTAATATTATTACTACTATCATATTATTATAGTATTATGATAGTAGTAATAATATTAAAATATTGGTGAATATATTGTGGCCAAGAGGATCGAGTTTTCCCAAAATTGGTCCACTATTTAATTTTAAATGGATCTTAAAAGACCAATATTTTTCTTCCCTCCCTGTTTATTTTATATATGTATATATTTGTATTAGGAATTATTTTTTATTTTCTGTCTATATGTATATATGTAAATATGTATATATATATACATATGTATGTATATATATATATATATATATATATATATATATATATATATATATATATATATATATATATATATATATATATATATATATATATATATATATATATATATATGTATATATTAGGGTGGTTCAAATTTAGGTCAAAAATTTTTTACAAATAGAGTGGAAGTTTAAAAGATGCACTGAGCCTGGTTTTATATATAGGATTTTTTTTTTTTTTTTTTTGAAGTTCAAGGGTGGCACACGGCCCAAAAGTATTTTTTTTTACCTTTTTTTTGATGTTTTTTGACCCGTGTGCCACTCTTAAACATTATTAAATTCAAATTATTTTTTTTTGACATATTCTCGCAAGGACCTATCCAAAAAAATAAAAAGGCACTCTAACTCATTTTATTTTTTGAAAACTTGAAAAATGTCCTTTAAAAATACCTAAGAACAATTTTTTTTTCAAATCTAATGAATTTTTTCATTATTTCTATACACACAACTATTTCAATGACAGCGGTATGATCTCATTGTTCAAATGAAATAATCATACTCAATGTTCAACATCTGCTATTTTAATAACATTAAATAAAATTTATTAACGTTGGTAAAGTGTTTATTTTAAAATAAAAATCAATTTTATTATAATTTATTTACATAAAATAAACTAAAATAAAAAAACTCATTAAAAACAGGGAAATAGAAAAAACTCTTCGGTTTTCTTCTCCTCTAAAAGAGGATCACACATCCCCCCCTGGATCACTGGCGCACCCTCTGCTAAGGCTACCGCAGGGAGCTCTGCGCTGCATCAACCCCCTTCTCTTAAAAACTTTGTTGTCCAAACAAAGGTTCTACATTTACACCGAATTGTCAAGATTTGAGAGAGAACTGCTGCTTTATATCTAAGCTGAAGGTTTCATGGGAACATGGTGGATACAGAACTCGTGACATACAATGCGTTTTAGGGTTAGTGATATTTATAAAATCTTAATCTAAATTAGCTGCACAGTTATTTGATAAGTCTTTTTTTTAAGAAAGAAGTCAAGGCTGTAGTAATGAAATATAAAAAGCTGCAATCGCTAAGAAACAGATCAACACCAGGAGCAATAAAAGATAGAGAGAACTTCTTAATAAAATCTTAAAGGGTATTCTGGTTAGGACATGACATAAAAATCATGATTGAAGAAATAAAAATGGATAGAAAAAGAACTGAAGAAAGTAAATGTATGGACATTATGTTCTTGAAAGTGCAGAAGGAAAAAAGACAAGGCTGTCTAGGCATTTCTGATACCTGCTTCAAAAAATCTTCAAAAAGATTCGAAAAAAAAAATTTAAAAGAGAATTATCAAAAAAAATAGGAGATTTAGATACAACTTATAGCTCAGAAGGTGATGTTAGTGATTTTTCTTTAAGCTCATAATGCCTCGAGTCTGTTACAAGTGAGTCAAATGACGATTCTCATGAAGAAGAACAAAGTTTATTACTGCCTAAAAATATTTTAAAGCGTACAGCATTAACTGCTGTAGGAAAAGGTCTTTCTATCAACCAACAAACTGCTATCATAAACAGTGTTATAGCTATTTCAGGAGGAGAAATAAATAAATTTGTTGTGTCTAAATTATCATCTCTTCGAGCTGTAGATAAAGTAATAAATTAGAAAGCTCAAAAAATTACACAGTATATAAAAGGTTTGACTGACTCCAAATATAAGCTGATTTCTGTTCACTTTGACAGGAAAATATTTAAAGAATATTCAGATAAAGTTTCAGTTACAAGAGAAAGATTAGCAGTACTAGTGAAAGTAAATGGGAAAACTAAGCTCCTAGGTATTCCTCATATTGAGTTAGGTTCTGGGGAAAATCAGTTCAAAGCAGTTTATAGTCTATTAGATTCTTTTGGCCTTAGTCATCATATACAGTGTATATGCTTTGATACTACAGCTTCCACCACTGGAAAGCACTAAGGAGTTAAACAAGAATGGCTGATAAGCTGGGAAGGCCACTATTTTTCCTTGCCTGTAAACATCATATATTGGAAAGACATATTACCTATTTTAACAAAATATATCCCAGTAGTAAAACGTCTGGTCCAGAAAACCAGCTCTTTGAACACCTGAAATCTGTCTGGAATGATCTTGAAAAAGACATTGTTACATTAAAGAGGATTGAAACTCCAAATGGAACTTGGATAAATAAACAACATCTTGAGGCTGAAAAATTCTACAGAGATGTAATAGATAATAAGATCTACAAAAAGGTTAATTACAGTTTTGTAGTAGCTTGCTTAAAATAATTTAAACAATCTGTATACACAATCATAATATGATAAATCATAATTATAAATATAAAATATTCTTTATTTTTAAGATGTCAAGAAAGGATTATCAAGAGTTAGCAGAACTATCTTTGATGGTAGTTTCTCAAAAAGATAGGTTCAAATTTTGTATTCCTGGTCCAAAACATCATGCCAGATTCATGTCAAAAGCGTTGTATTACCTTAAAATGTATTTACTATTGGAAGCTATTCCAAGTTTATCAGAAGAAAATAAAGAAGAGATTTGTGAAATGGCTATGTTTGTGGGTATCTTTTATACTCAAACATATTTTTAGGATATGAAAGCTCTGTGGCAGATGAAGAGGTTCTTGGATATAAATATTCTTGGAGCTACTTTAGCAATAAAGTTATTTGACAGACACAGCTGGTACCTTGATCCTGCCTTAGTTGTGCTTGTATTAGCAGATAAATGTTGCCCAAACAGAGAAGATATTGCCACATCATTATACAATACACTTCCCACCCAACCAATACTGTATCCTTGTTGAATGTGTTATGGTCAATAAAGAGGTTCTTCACTCTCTAGACTTTTCACAGCCTCCTTCTTTTCACAGCCTCTTTCTTTTCACAAGATCAGCCTCCTTCTCTTTGTTCTCTAATAATTGAGCAATCTTGGCTCATCTTTGATAAGATGGAACATGGAAAGGATGAGTTGCAGTGGCTTAAGATCCCCTCACAGTTTTGGAAGTTTAACAATTTTTATCTTGAGTTTAAATCTACTATTAAATCTCTAGATGTGGTTAACGATTCGTCAGAGAGGACCATAAATTTAGTAAAAGAACTGATTAGAAAATCAACGAAAGAGAAGAAGAGACAGGACTTGTTCTTGTTAAACCATGCACAGTGGGCGGAATTTCAAAAAACCTGGCCAAAAATCAAAAAATGATTATAATTAATGGAAACTTTCTGTATAGCATTTTTTTGAATCCCCAACTTTGAATTTTACATAAGTGTACCAAAATTCAATAATGGCAGATCCAAAATGGCGGTGTTTTAAAAACATTAATCATTAGAAATGCCTTTGAGCCTTCGTGTTTAACCAATTAGTTCTAATTTGACATTTAAGTTCAATAGACTAATGTATTATTTACATTACATATATAAACATTATATATAATACCGATATATAATGTATTATGACCGTATTATTATGCCGCAATTTCTTTAACGAAATTGATATTATTGAATTGACTTGAAGTAGCAGAACACAAATAACACCGCATTGTTGATTTCGTCAATGTTATTGCATTGCAAACTTTTCCGTCAATCATTGTCATAACCAATTTATAATATATTTTAATTTCTATTTTATGTTGAACAATGATGAGAGGAACCAGTGATTTAATTTTATCTTCAATATAGTCTTTTTCATTAATGCTTGTATGGACATTTTTGTGAAGAAATTGCAGTCTGATAGGTCGGCAAAATCGAGTAGATGAGGGTGTCCTATTTTTCCATAGAATAACATCTTGACCTAAAACTGAATTTGTACACAAAAGTTGTAATGGTACTGAGTTTCTTCCATCGGCAAATCTCTGTTTATATTCGCTATGACCGGAACTGCCATCAAACCCCCACTTAAGAATTAAAATAAAATTTGATAAAATATTTACATTCAAGGAGTCAATTTCATCTTGTTGAGTTTTTATAATTCGTAAACAAGTGTGATTTAATAAAGATTGCAGTTTTACTTCGGCGCTTATTTCAGTTACCGTTATATCTTCAGGGTAACACATTTTCTTGGCTTCTTTAAGTTTTTTGTAAGATGGTAAAAAGGAGAGCTATTCGCAATTGCAGCACTTCTTATAATGCAATATTGGTGTTTAGAAAGCTTTGCTTCCATTAGTATGGAAAAAGCTGTTTCACCACATAGTTCAGATGTTTGTGAAATTTGGGACAATTTAAGGCTCTCTATATAATTTGCGACTCGGTGTTGAATAGTGGAAGGTAAATCTTTAACTGTAACTCCGGCGTTGCATGCTCCTGAAGCCCCAAGACTCATCTGAGAAGCAAATGCTAACTCGGATGAACTAAATGTCGAACGCATTTCCTCTGTTTTTCGCCGTTTCGTTCGCTCACTTGCTTCATTAAAATTCAAATGTGGTCGACCCATTGCACTATGGCTTTTTTTCTCTTTGTTTCGTGCTTGAACAATCTGAAATTATTTAAATGTTTAGTAAATATAAAAAAGTTTAAAACTTTGTCCGGTTACTACTTTTCCATTTTATTTTTAATTTTGTCAATACATTTTTTAGTT